GACTTCGTTCCCGACCTCGGCACTGCAGATAGCGACGCCATCGTGAACTTCACTGATTGGACACACCCTCCAGATCTCGACCCTGACTTCAGCCCGGGAGGCTTCTGGTACTCCCACACTATCCCTGAAGTAGAACGAACAAGAGCGTTAGCAACGATTCAACAAGAAGCAGAGACAACATCGGCAGCAGAAACAACATCGGCAGCACCAACAACATCGGAAGCAGCAGAAACAACGACACCACTCATAGTTGACGAAGCACCACCAACACCTGCGCAACAGCTGAATCCAACTCAACGTGAAGTCCACCGAAGTGCCAACCTCGTTGCCAGCTTCTACTCCAACTCCGACGCATATCAGCGTTCACCCGGACATCGCGCCTCTGAAGAAATCTGGCACGCACGCACAGGACATCCAAGCAATACGGTTTTAAATAACACGATAAGAGCAGGAGTCCTTGACAAAGACTCTCTACTTCTACCCGATGGCAGAGAACTCCAAAAGGCACGAGGGACTTGCCTCATATGTCCCGAAGCCGACTTACCTCATCGACCTTTTGCTCCACATCACAACCCGAGCGCTCCAGCGTACACTCCACTCGAAAAGGTCTACAGCGACATCCTCTACAATCGCGACCCAGGACAAGTCAACTACAACTACACCATTACCTTCATCGACGCCGCCACTCGATATGTCTGGCATCGCAACCTACCCAGTCGCGACATGGCACTCGCAGCATTCGCCGCCTGGCTACCGATAGCAGAGAGAGAGTCTGGAACACAACTGAAGAGCTTCCAGTCAGACGGAGGCGGGGAGTACACCTCTCAGCGCTTCAAGCAATTTCTGGCCGAAAAGGGGATCAAGCAACTCCTCTCCCTTCCCTACGCACATCAGCAGCAGGGTGTTGCAGAACGAATGAACAGGACTCTGCAGAACAGCATGCGCAAGCTGTTACGTGGCATGCGGCTACCCAACCACCAGTGGCCAGCAGCAATGGACCACGCTGTCATGCTGCACAATTTGTTGTCGTCGTCGTCACTCCCGAACAACGCATCACCGCATCTGCTGTGGACAGGGAAACAGGGCAGCACAAAAATGTTACGGGTTTTTGGGTGCATGGTACAGTACAGGCCCCCAGAAGCACGAGGGGGAAGATTTTCGCAACGGGCACAGTGGGGACTACACCTCGGCATCGAGAAAAATTACAACGCATGGAAGATCTTCGACGTCCACACAAAGGAAACAGTAGCAGCACGTGACGTGATCTTCTACGAAAGACTCACCCTTCAGACGTACCTCGCCAACTTGTACGAGAATCGGGACCTCACCAGTGGCTTTCGTGGTGACCGAGCCTTCGCGTCAGCAGCGGACGAAGCAGACTGGGATGAACAGAACGTCGACAACGCCTCGGAGGAAACCGGTCCTCTCCCATACTGCTCCGTCAACGTTCCCATGGATGAGGACAATCCTCGCGAAAGTAACAACGCCGCAGTCTTTTACCGCTTCGCCGACGATGGTTACGTAACACCTGCGACAGTCAACACCAACGAAGCAGAAAGAGTAGGGCCAAATTTCATGCCCGACCCAGAAGCGGGAGACGAAGCAGCTTATCCCGAGGATCCAGAACTCCCTCGATACTCACAGACTGGGCTGCAAATCCTCGGGCTCGTCACTGCAGTCCATGGCGCCGACATTCCCAAGGAGCCTGCGACGGTTCAGCAGGCTCTGGGGGGGGAACACAGGGAGAAATGGCGTGAAGCCATGGACAAAGAGCTGAAGGCACTGGAAGAGCGCAACACCTGGAAAATTGTTCCCATCGGCGTTGCCCAAAACAAAACGATTCTTACCGGGAAATGGGTTTTCCGTGTGAAGACGAAAGCCGATGGCACCATCGACAAATTCAAAGCCTGCTGGGTCGTACGTGGCTTCGACCAGGAGCACGGAAGAGACTACACCGAAACCTTCGCTCCGGTCAGTCGTCACACCTCACTCCGAATTCTCATCGCCGTCGCCGCCATGAAGAGAAAGAAGTTGCGACAAATCGATGTTGCGAACGCCTTCCTCTACGCACCTGTGGATGCAGAAATCTACGTCGAGCTCCCACACGGTTCCCACGGCGAACCCAACCGAATCTGTCAACTACTTAAATCGCTCTACGGGATCAAGCAGGCACCGCGACTGTGGCAACAGTACCTGCACGCCCGTCTCATCCGCATCGGCTTTAGTCAACTACCTCACGACCAAGGCATGTACCGCCTCACTAAGGGAAGCGACTACGTTCTCCTGATCGTCTACGTGGACGATCTCCTCTACATTGGGTCAACCGACGGCATCGCCACGTGGTTCGAAGGAGAGCTCCAGAAAGACCTCACGCTCACGGTCTCCTCCACCGTTACACAGTACCTCGGGCTCAACATCCGCGAAGAAGAAAACGCCATCTATCTAAGCGCCGAGAAATACGCCGACACCATCGCGAAACGCTTCAGTCTCACACCAAGCGCCATCTCCACGCCTTACCGCTACACATCAGGAACCGAGAAGGAACGAACTACTCTACTCAAGCCCGCCGGCATACGCGACTATCAGAAGAAACTCGGATGCCTGCTATTCGCCGCCGTCACCTGCCGTCCTGACCTATCCTACTCCGCAAGTCAGCTCGCCACCTATCTCAAGAAGCCTGAAGCTGAACACCTGGCGGAACTTGATCGCGCGCTCCACTACTTCGTCAGCACCGCGACGATCGGGCTAACCTACCACAAGAACGCAGCTACATCGACTAAGCTAATCGGTTACGTCGACGCCGATCACGCCGGCGACACCGACAATAGGCGCTCACGCACCGGCTATGTCTACCGCCTCGAACCTATCGGTCCTATCTCCTGGCAGTCGAGCAAGCAGGAGTTAATTGCATTATCTTCAGCAGAAGCAGAATATATTGCTCTCTGCTCAGCCACCAAGGAGGGACTTTACCTTCGCGAACTGCTGGAAGAAGCGAAGCTAGCCGAGTTACCCAGCTTCACCGTATTCTGCGACAACCAGTCGGCAATTCGCATCGCCAACAAGAACGGCTTCGCAAACAGGACGAAACACATCGCCCTGCGTTACTTCTTCGTGAAGGACGAGATCGAAAAGGGGAAACTCAATCTGTCATACTGTCCCACGTCTGAGATGGCAGCCGATTACTTGACCAAGAAGCTCGGGAAGCAGAAGTTCGAATACTGCATGCTGCTGACTGGACAAGGCCACGTCACCAGCAGCGACACTCCAGAAGCGAAGGGGGGTGTTGGAAACGATAAGTCCTAAGCGCGCTTCTGTCGTATCAAAATCCAAGACACCAAGCGAAGCAGTCCCAATCGAAGTATCGTGTCAGCCTCAAAGCATCGTGTCAACCTCGGAGGTTAGAGTAACCACCTGGAGGTTACGAGAAAGTCAAAGGTCGCTGACCTTTGACTCGACATTTACAGCGCGACAGTTAAGGACACACAACTGACTCGTTACAGAGCAGTTGCCCGAGTCGCACTATATCGAACCGCAACAGCAATACAGTTATCTGTTTATCTATTCGTATTCCCTGTACTTATATATAAATCCTTGTACTTGCTTGTTTAACTTTAATCTACTTTGCTCTCACACACCAGTGCAAGGTTGGTTCATAATCTTCACTAAAAGCTTCCGCTATTACAAGTTTCTACCCAAGAGTTCTCCTCTGCAAAGATCCAAAGGGCTATTCTCAGCCCAACATAAAGCTCCTCCTGCTGGGTGTGCCAGGGGGGCAGTTCCCCTTCTGGCAGGAAGAGAGTGCTGTGGGCGTTAGTGTGTGAGGGTTCCTGTTTCTGCATGGCGTTGAGAGGGAAGGGGAGAGGGAGAGGAACAGAAAGATAGTGGGTGTGAGTGTGAGGGCGTGTGTAAATGCCTCTGCGTGCAAGTGTGTGTGGTGCAAGTAGGGAAACGTTGGGACGGTGTGCCAGTGTGAGTACGGGGGTGTGCATGGGAGTGCGCCTGTCGTGAGTCTGTGCACTGACCTCAAAAGCACCACTAGAGAGACTCGTGAAAAAAGGAGTGTTTTGAGACGTCTCAAAATAGTGTAAGTACGGGGGTGTGCATGGGAGTGCGCCTGTCGTGAGTCTGAGCACTGAACTCAAAAGCACCACTGGAGAGACTCGTGAAAAAAGGAGTGTTTTGAGACGTCTCAAAATAGTGTAAGTACGGGGGTGTGCATGGGAGTGCGCCTGTCGTGAGTCTGTGCACTGAACTCAAAAGCACCACTGGAGAGACTCGTGAAAAAAGGAGTGTTTTGAGACGTCTCAAAACATTGTGAGTACGGGGGTGTGCACGGGAGTGCGCCTGTCGTGAGTCTGTGCACTGACCTCAAAAGCACCACTAGAGAGACTCGTGAAAAAAGGAGTGTTTTGAGACGTCTCAAAATAGTGTAAGTACAGGGGTGTGCATGGGAGTGCGCCTGTCGTGAGTCTGTGCACTGAACTCAAAAGCACCACTGGAGAGACTCGTGAAAAAAGGATTGTTTTGAGACGTCTCAAAACATTGTGAGTACGGGGGTGTGCATGGGAGTGCGCCTGTCGTGAGTCTGAGCACTGACCTCAAAAGCACCACTGGAGAGACTCGTGAAAAAAGGAGTGTTTTGAGTCCGCTCCTCATTCCGTGCCAGCCCACTGGCCTGCCCCAAGCACTTTGAATGATGCCCCAAGCACTTTGAATGATGTCCCAAGCACTTTGAACGATGCCCCAAGCACTTAGAATGATGCCCCAAACACTTTGAATGATGCCCCAAGCACTTTGAATGATGACCAAATTTCTGTGGCATGGATCTATATCAAATCAATCTACCACTATTAGCAATATGATCCAAAAAACAAGAATAAGCACCTGCAAAGCCAGCCTAGCGCCAGACATCATTCTGCACCCTTTTCTACATGCCTTATGGCCAGAGCTCTATAACTTACAGTAAGACTGAAAATAGTACTTAGACAATGCCAAGTGAACTAGGCGGATGCGAAGTGAAGGTCAGGAGGCAGCTCCACACCCAGATCCAGATCGTCTAGAAACATGCTGAAATCCTCCAACCCCTGCTGCTGCACTCCCCTCTCCTGCCCTTGCTGCTGCTGGCCCAGCTGATGCAGCTCCTCCTGCTGGGAATGCCAGGGGGGCAGTTCCCCTTCTGGCAGAAAGAGAGTGCTGTGGGAGTTAGTGTGTGAGGGTTCCTGTTTCTGCATGGCGTTGAGAGGGAAAGGGAGGGGGAGAGGCACAAAGGGATGAACGAGTCTTGAGACGTCTTAAACCTCCTCCTGCTGGGTGTGCCAGGGGGGCAGTTCCCCTTCTGGCAGGAAGGGAGTGCTGTGGGCGTTAGTGTGTGAGGGTTCCTGTTTCTGCATCGCGTTGAGAGGGAAGGGGAGAGGGAGAGGAACAGAAAGATAGTGGGTGTGAGTGTGAGGGTGTGTGTAAATGCCTCTGCGTGCAAGTGTGTGTGGTGCAAGTAGGGAAACGTTGGGACGGTGTGCCAGTGTGAGTACGGGGGTGTGCATGGGAGTGCGCCTGTCGTGAGTCTGTGCAGTGACCTCAAAAGCACCACTAGAGAGACTCGTGAAAAAAGGAGTGTTTTGAGACGTCTCAAAACAGTGTGAGTACGGGGGTGTGCATGGGAGTGCGCCTGTCGTGAGTCTGTGCACTGACCTCAAAAGCACCACTGGAGAGACTCGTGAAAAAAGAAGTGTTTTGAGACGTCTCAAAACAGTGTGAGTACGGGGGTGTGCATGGGAGTGCGCCTGTCGTGTGTCTTTGCACTGACCTCAAAAGCACCACTGGAGAGACTCGGTTGGGCAGTGGCAGTAACATTAGTGACACCGTCACGAGGCGTGGGGAGAGCAGAGTCCCCCCCAGGGCCCCACATGTCAACGTCCCCCACCTCCATCATCAGCAGATCCTCCCCTCCCACCTGCACCTTTTCCCCTCCCCTTCCCTCTACCCCTCCTCCTCCTACCACTTCTCTTCCATCTCCTGCTCCTCCTCCTCCCCCTCCCACTCCACCTCCCACCCCTCCTAGTCCTGTTAGGCTGGTCAAAGCAAGGCTTCTGTCCCAAGTGCTGCCAGGTGTCGACCCATGATTGGCCAGCAAAGCCGCTGTAGAATGGCCTGTGCCTTGACTGGGTGACAGCACACCCGGTTTCACATCAACTGTAGATGACAGCGTGTTGCCCAAGTGATTGCCGCCCAAGTGATTGCCGCCCAAGATGTGACTGCCACCAAAGTGACTGCCACCCATATGGTTGCCACCCAGGTGGCTGTTTATTTGAGCTCCATTTTGTCTTGTATCGAGCCCTGTGCTCCACCCTCCCATATCTTCCACCTTCCACACCCCTCCTCTCCCACCACCCGCACCTACTTGTCCTCCCACTGCCCCGGCTACCCCTCCCACTGCCCCGGCTACCCCTCCCACTGCCCCGGCTACCCCTCCCATCCTTGCCTCATTCCCAACACCTCCAGCCAAACCCCCTCCCCTTCCTCTCCCCACACCTCTCCCCGCTCCTCCCTCTACCCCTGCTGCCGTGCCTGCACCACCAATCATTCGGTCTATCCCGTCCGAACCACCACTATCACTACCATCACTACCATCCTCCTCTTCCTCCTCATCCTCCCCATCCTCCTCTTCTTCCTCCTCCTCTTCACCTCCCTCTCTCTTCAAACTCAGCGCCTTCCTCCGTTCGGCAACCTCAACCTTCAGCCGATCCAGCAGGGCTTTCCGAGCCTGCGCCGAGCCTGCTGCCATTTCATTCAGCTTCCGCTGCAGCAGTGCCTGAACCTGCTTCTCAGCTTCGGAAGGATCACTAGCCTTCAAAGGCCGCTTTACCCCTCCTCCTCCTGCTGCTGCTGCTCCTCCTGCTCCTGTTGCTGCTCCTCCTGCTGCCGTTGCTACACCGGCAGCAACACCAGCAGCAGCAGCCCTACCAGAAACGTCAGCAGCAACGGCGGTACTACCACCCGCACCCCCACCTCTTTCATCAGCAGAACCTTCCCCAGCTGAACCTTCCCCAGCTGACCCTGCCTCAGCTGCATCCAGCTCCATTCTAAGCCGCGCAGCTAGAGCTGCTGCCCCCGCCTGCTTCCCCAACATCTTAATTATCCCGTCCAGACTACCCCCTGCTGCCCCTCCTCCTGCCCTTCCCCCACTTGCTCCTCCTCCCCTTCCACCTCCTCCTCCACCTCCCCCTCCTCCTCCACCTCCCCCTCTACCTCCTCCTCCTCTCCCGCCACCACCGTTACTGTTTCCCACTCCCCCTGCTCCTCCTCCCCTTCCTGTCCCGTCTGTAGCTCCAGACCCACCCACAACAGTTCTACCTACTCCAGAAGAACCCGCCTGGGATTCTTTCTGAGCCCTCTTGGTGATCTGAGTGGCTAGTATGTGCACCTCAGGAGCCGTTAGATCGCCGCCGGCCATCATCTGCCCTAGGATCGCCAGCGCCATAGCCTCTTTCGAAGGTGCGGGAACAGGCTCGGAAGCACCTTCCGAACCTCCCGCTGCAGACGAGCTAGCTGCCTTGCCAAAGCTAGCTGACTTGGTGAGGCTAGCTGTCTTGCCGAGGCTGGTTGAAGCTCCTACCGTGCCTGAACTCGCTGCCGGACCTCCAGACATGGAAACAGCAGCGGATGAAGGGTCCAGCCGCCGCGTCGTCACTCCCGGTCCCGGACCTAAGGACGAGCTTCGGTTGAGCGTGGTGCCGAGCCTGCTTCCAGGCCCGCGAACGAGGCTCGGAGATGGATCCGCCAAGCCACCCGGTGCAAATGCAGACGGGGACGCAGATGCAGTACTGGCAGCACCACCAGCAGCACCAGCAGCAGCAGTAGCACCACCAATACTAGCAGCGGCTGCACCAGCAGCAGCAGCGGCGGCAGCAGGAGCAGCACCAGGTGATCTAGCATCAAGGTCAAAGTCGGGAAACGACTCTCGGCTGAGCCTCCTATGCAACTCCGGTGTTGCACGCCGCTTCCTCAGAGGACCCTGCTGTGCCAACGTCCCCCCACTCCCACCCCCTCCCCCGAATCCACCCAGTGTAGGTGACTGTATCGAAGGTGATAGAAACGCAGGGGACAGGATCGCATCCAGCCTATCCCCAGCACTCGTCACCTCCATAGGCACCCGTGGGGAGGAGTCCACCGCTTTGGACCCACTCCCACCTGGCGAAACCAGCCCACCGGCAGACGCACCAGCAGAGCCACCAGCCGCACCAGCAGGAGCACCTGAGAATTCACCTGAGGACCCTCGGCTCATGGCAGCGCGGGAGAGCTTGACAGCAGCGGCCAGAGAGGGGTCGTTGAACTCAGCCTGCCTCGCCAGCTTCCGAAACTGCTCCTCTGCTCGCCTTCTCTCCTCTTCTGACGTCGAAAACGTTGCAAATGCCGCCCCAAGACCCTGCCTTTGCGTCGAGTCGAAGGGAGAAAAGGCGGCTTCTAGACCCTGTAGCCCACCTGACCCGAAGCTGCCTTGCCTCCTTGCTGTTGCGGCTGTCGCTCCTGCTGGTGCTCGTTCCTCCCCACTGGCAGCACCAGCACAAGTCTCCCCTCCTGCTGTACCCTGGCCCTGCCCATCTGCCCCTCCCGACCCTTGCCTTGAAACCCCTGCATCACCACCAGCACCACCGGCACCACTGGCACCAGCACCAGCATTACCATCACCGGCAGCAGACGCACCAGCCCCAACCATCCCCTCTCCTGAACTCCCCTCTCTCGCACTGCCCACCGCACTCAACCCAGCACATTCCATCTCCTCCGCGCCACCACCACTGTCCTCCTCCCATGGCCGTTTCAAGCTGCCACTGCCGCCACCCCCACACAGCCTCTCCCTCGCACCACCACCACCACCACCACCAGCACCACCAGCATTACCACCTGCACCAGTTGCACCTGCCCCAGCTGACCCCGTGCCGCCTGCTCCGCCCGTGCTGCCGCAAGCTGCCCCTCCGCTCTCTCCCCCACTTCCCCAGCTCATGCGGGAGCGGGGAGAGGAGGCTGCACTAGTGGTGGTATTGGTGTTTGTGTTGGTATTGGTGTTGGTGTTGGTTAGAGTGTTAGTGGTGGTGGTGGCGCGCAGGGGGCTGGTGCTGCTGCGGTGGGGGCGGGGGGAGCCGTACGGGGAGCGGTTGAAGGGAGAGGGGGAGGAGCCGCGAGATGCTTGGATTCGAAGGCTCTGCTGCTCTGACCGCTGCTGCTGCTGATGCTGATGCTGCTCTGACTGTTGCTGCTCCAGCTGCTGCTGCTGCAGCATTCGCACAGGTCCTCCTGCGGATGAAGCGCGAACGATATTAGATTGCATCACCTCACTCTGCTTCCCCTCTCCCCCTCCTCCCCACCCTTCCCCTCCCCCCCCTGCCCCTCCTCCCCGTGTCAGTACTGCTAAAACATCTGCTGCTGATAGAGAATGCGAGCGCCCGCCAGGTGTCAGCTTGCGATTGGCCGGCAACTGAGAGCCCGCCATGGGTGCGGCAGCCGCAGCTCCGGAAGCAGAAGGCGGAATAGCAGGTATGGTTGCCGAACCTGACGGGGAGCTCAGGATAGACAGCTGCGCCAAGGCTCGCTGCGTGGTCCGCTTGGGAGAGTCAGATCTCGGCGGATCGAATCTAAGAGGACCCGGTCTAGAATTCTGGCTTAATCTAGACGAAGGTGGGTGAGCGATGGAGGGGGTATGGCGCGTGGAAGGATGGGGGGAGGAGGCGATAGAATGGGAAGGGGAGGCGGAGGGGCCATGAGAGGATGGGGAGGAGGGATGCGGGGGGAGGTGGGAGGGTGGCATGGGGAGCGGTTTGGCGATGCTTGCAGGTGTGGTGGAAGTTTCCGGGATGAAATCAGGGAGGAAGACTCCTGGAATCTTCTGCAGCTGCTCGAATTTCTCTTTGAGGCCCTGTGAAATGCTCGGGTCCTCCTTAATCTGTTGTGGGGAACGAGCGGGGGGAGGGGGAAAGGAGGGGAGGGGACGGGAGGGGATGGGGAGAGCAGGGAAGGGAGGGAAGAAGTGGGAAGAGTTTACTTTCTGAGTTGAGTGAATATCATGCTGCGATGTGAGAGCTCCGAGGGGATTTGCGGGGATGGGATGGGAGGGGATGGGGAAGGTTGGGAGGTATGAAAAAGGGATGGGAGGGTATGAAAATGGACGGGAAGGGAAGGGATGGGAAGGGATTGGATGGGATAGGCTACAGAAGCGTAAGAGTGACTGTGATTGGCTGTACACAACACACCACACCGCGGGACGTACCAGGAATCGACTTGGTCCTGAGTCGACTCCTGGAAGTGGTGTGATTGACCTTTTGCAACACAACAAACTACACCACACCACGACACACCACGCCACAGCACAACACACCACAACCACACGAGAAGACGTACCAGGAGCACAGAGCCAAGCTGAACAGCCCCGCCCGGGACTGGGATTATGGCAATGGTCTGCAGGTGGGGTGCACAGTACAAGTGGAGGAGGAGGAGAAGCGAGAGAGAAAGATAGAGCGAGGGAGTGAGTGATACGAGGGTATGAGGCATGAGAGAGAGCAAGGAAAGGAATACAGGCGATGTGAAAGGGAGCAGCACAAGAGGGAACCGCCAGCACTGAAATCTGGCAGCGATATCAGCGGACTGACCTTGATGCCAGACGCGAAGTGCTCCGCCCAGCCAGGTGGATGCTGCATGGGGGAGAAACACGGGGATGAAGGGAGAGTGGGGGGCAGAGGTGAGTGCGTCTGTGTGTGTGGTGCTTGGCTTTTGAGGTGCCTCAAAACTCTGCACGGAGGTGAGGTGAGTGCGTCTGCTTCTCGTTCCACACACACACAGATACACGATGACACACACTCTCAATCCCTCACGCGATCACAAACTCCACACTCAATCACTCGCTTACTCACACACACTCACACACACCTGGCTCTGCACGGAGTTGAGAGTATCAGCGTGGTACTTGGCATGGCTGTACACCCACTCTGCTGCCTCTAATGCGGCACACTCCCTCACACTCTCACACACCATCACCCCCACACACACACCTGGCTCTGCACGGAGTTGAGAGTATCAGCATGGTACTTGGCATGGCTGTACACCCACTCCGCTGCCTCCGATGCCACACTCACGCCCACCAGCCTGGGGGAAAGGGGAGGAAAGCGTGAGGTAATGAGGGGAGAGGAGAGTGAGAGGGAAGGACGGGAGAGGAGTGGGGGGATGAGGGAAGAGGGAGACGAGAAGAACGAAGGCACGTGAAAAAAGGAGTGTTTTGAGACGTCTCAAAACACTCCTTTTTTCACGAAGGGCACTCTTAGGGCACACGAAGCGAGACTCTCTTCCAAGCTAGCTCAGCAACAGTGGGATGTCAGGAACCCTAACCCGGTCACTACAAGCACGCCTCTTGACTTTCCAACTGGGATCGGACCCTACCCTACGCCATTACATCAGACTAAACCAAGAGATGGGGCAAACCAAGGTTCGCAGCATGGACCTGCTTCCAGTCGCAGAGTCTTTCTGAACAAATGCCAACGCTCCTTATCCCCCACATAGCAGCCCTACCCGTCGCCATGGTTACAGAACTGGTGGATGAGCGTCAACTACGTCTCATGCAGTGCAGTTGCTAGCTTCCAGCCATCACTCCTTTCATCTGAACGAACGCCTATTCAGCAGTTGTTCTCAATAGCCAAAGCCCCCCCAACCCCAAACTGTCCAAACACAGCAGTCCTACCCTTCGTCATAGCTATCGATATGATAGAACAGCACAGCTTCAGCTATGTCTCGTAAAGTGCAGCTTCTTCCAGTTCCAGCACAGTTCCTTCCTCTGAACTAACATCAAAACCCAAGCCCCCAACCCAACTCATAATTCTTCCAAGCAACCGTACCCTTCGCCGTAGTTATAGATCTGATACGAGAACTTCAGATACGTGGCGTGCAGCTGCTTCCAGTCGTAAGAGAGCTCGTCTAAAACGGGTACAGCGTCTGCCTGGCGGCTGCTGCTGCTGCCGCCCCCGCCCGCACTAGAAGCCGAATTGCGCAACCGGGCCATCTGGTCCTCCAGCTTCTTAAGCACGGCGTGAGGGACCAGGTACCCGTCCTCCCACATGAGCACCCTGTGGAGTGCGAGGGGAAGGGGAGAGGGAGGGAGACATGGGGTGAGCCAGCGTGCCATCTGGTCCTCCAGCTTCTGAGCATGGCGTGTGAGGGACCAGATACCCGTCCTCCCACATGAGCACCCTGTGGAGTGCGAGGGGAAGGGGAGAGGGAGGGAGACATGGGGTGAGCCAGCGTGCCATCTGGTCCTCCAGCTTCTGAGCATGGCGTGTGAGGGACCAGATACCCGTCCTCCCACATGGGCACGTTTTTTAGTCGACTCAAAAACAGACTCAGAAACAGACTAAAAAATCGACTCAAAAACAGGTTTTGAGTCGACCCAAAAGCATGGCGTGGGGGACCAGGTACCCGTCCCCCACATGAGCACCCCGTGGGTTGGTGCAGGGCGGGGAGAGAGGGGAATGGGGGGTGGAGACTCGGGTGGGGAAGACGTGTGAGAGGGAATTATTGGAAGGGGAAAGATGGGAGAGGGATGGCGCCACTGTGCCATCTGCTCCTCGGGTGATGAGTCGATTTTCGAGTCGACTTAGAAATCGACTCATAACACGAGGGGAGAGGAATAGCGCCACTGTGCAATCTGCTCCTCGGGGGGAAGGGTAGAGTTGATTCAAAGAAATGAGGGGATCGGGTTGTTGTGTTGTGTGTGCTGGGTGGAAGGAAAGGAGGGAATTAGAAAATAGAAACCTCCAACTGAGTCTTAAATCGACACGAATGATCCTGTCCGAGCAACTTCGCGCGCCAGCAAGATGAAACGAGACGAACCGAGATGTAACTAGGGATGTGTGGAAATGCGGAGAGACATGACGAGCCGGGTTTCGGCCTTCCAAGCGCCTCAAAGGTAGTAATGGCACAGTTAGGGCTTCGGTTTCAGTCATTGAGGGCCCCAATGGTCGTTCAGCTGGCAATTCAGAAGTGGAGGAAGAGGAAGAAGAGGAGGAAGAGGAAGAAGAGGAGGAAGAGGAAGAAGAGGAGGAAGAGGAAGAAGAGGAGGAAGAGGAAGAAGAGGAGGAAGAGGAAGAAGAGGAGGAAGAGGAAGAAGAGGAGGAAGAGGAAGAAGAGGAGGAAGAGGAAGAAGAGGAGGAAGAGGAAGAAGAGGAGGAAGAGGAAGAAGAGGAGGAAGAGGAAGAAGAGGAGGAAGAGGTGGAGGGGAGCTTACCAGTTATCGTCGTCCTCGCGTTTCATCATTCGGTTTCCCCTTATCGGTACATTTCTGCGAGAACGATCAAAACGCAGAACAGAAGCCAGCGAAACGAACGAGTGAATCAGGCTCCGCGACGACGGACGCGCTGCGACTAAGGACGGGATGCGACTACGGACGCGATGCTACTAAGGACGCGATGCGAGAAAGGAAATGGAAAACTAAGCTTCGATAAGCTTCGGTTTTCTGCATTGAACGCGCAGGCGAGTGCTCGACTCTTCGCGATCCCAATCCGTCAAACACGACTTGAAACAACGTATAGACAATCTGGAGTCTGCAGGGGTTACGTTTGCGACGTTCGCGGAACCGCGCGACGCTTCAGTCTCCAGAAGACGGAGTACGTCCATCCATTCTGCAGGCACAAGTCCTTAAGCACCTGTCGCAGCAGGTACATGGGCCTCTGCGCTAGCACGGCGCTCGGAACCTGCCTAGGGTTTGTCGCCATTGTTGTACTGTCGTCAAAACCTAGGAGTTAAAAATAAATAAAATAAGCAAAACCACCTCAAATTGCTCGTCTACAGCCAAACAACCCTAATCATACAGCTGTTGCACGGCAGCGCCATCGTAAGGAAACGCTTCTAGGGGAAAGCCTGAGCGAAACGATTCAAACTTCTGACCAACAGCTAGTTGAGAAGCCCAAGAATCGAGGAACCCGGGAACTGAGGAGGAACCTAGAAAGGACGTGTCAGATCAACTCCTGAAGCTATCAAGGTTGTATATGGCGAATAGCACGCACCACTGTTTACAGCAAGTTGGAATGGATTGCCACTGAAAGCTGGAATGGGCTTCTATTCTATTGCTGGAATACTGGGACAGGTGACGGGAGTCTAGGTGAAGGGAAGGGAACGGACTGACGAAATTGAAAGATCCCGTTTTGCGAAGTCCTCTTGCCCCTTTTTCTCGGTCCTCGGGTTTTTGCACGACAGTCGGCTGGCTGGGCCTGGAAGTCTCGGCGAAAAAAGACGTTCCGTAGTAACAAATCGTCTAGAAGACCACACCTCGGATACTCTCGCAATTGACCTCCCTCGACTTTGGTCGATCCAACTGCGATCAACTGGCAATTTTGATGGCAGCAGCGACTTGTGGTGGCTCCAGGGGCGTTGTGCAGGCCAGCTCAATCTTTCACGGGCTGGCAAACTGTTGCTAGTCGACAGGGAACAATTGGCGTTTAGGGAATGCCCTACAACAAGGCAAATTTGTTTCTTAGATCTCCTTCGGCCTGAGGAGGCGACCAATGATGTGTAGCGAAGTTAGCGGAGGAATATGAACCCCACTGGTTGGCACGTGGGCCTGAGCCAAATCTACATGTACGCGCTGAACACCCACTCATCACGTTGTGAAACATACCGGTACACCACCCTAGGCTTTTATAAGTACATCCACGTTAACTTCGCTTCTAAAGTTACCACTACAAGACTGATTGATCCGCAACTGTCAGCAGCTACCTAGTAAACTAGCAATTGCAACAAAATCTTGGAGATCAGTATATTTTTCAATTATTCGCATATCAGCAGCATCACCAGTCTAGGACTATCTAGTGATGACAATATCGTCGATTTTGAGAATCATCCTAACGCACTCTGCAGCGAGGGAAATGGCGCTTGTGCTCACGAGCAGCGGCTGCACCACATTCTCCTCAAACATGTTGCTGATCGCACCCTTGCGCACATTGATGCCCGCACTAACCTGTAACATGGTTACATGATTCCAGGGATCGGCAGAGAGATGTTCAGGGTTCAGAACAGGAAGTTGTTCGTCATTAACCCACTAGGTGTTCTTTTCAGCAGGGCATTTTCTTAGGGAGGGAGGGAGGGTTAACACCTGTGGATACAAGAGTAGCCTTTTATGTACTTCAACTGATAAGGGAACGGCAGCACACACCGATAATAACGCAGAAACCCATGCGCTCAATCGAAAAAAATCACTATCAACCGGTCTGTACCACATGAGCAGTTCTGCACAAATCGCTCCCCCCCCACTCCCCTCTCTCGTCACTCCCTCCCCCTGCCCCCGTCTTGCTGGGTACTCGAAGCTCACCTCTGCCTCACCATGTTTGCTCCCCATTTTCAAGTTAACCAATAAACTTTGCTGAGCACTCACCTCCCCCTCGGCGTGTTTGCGGCGCAGGTCAGTGACAGTGAGAATGGGGTTGAGTTTTTTTGTGTTTCTGTGCATGCATGTGTGTGTGTGTGTGCGTGTGTGCGTGTGTGTGTGTGTGTGTGTGTGTGTGTGTGTGTGTGTGTGTATGTGTATGTGTAATGGGGTTGAGTTTTTTTTTTTTTTTCCCCAGATTTCCTACATAGCGTCTGTTTCCTGCTCTCCCCCCTTCCCCCACACCATGGGCTGGTTGCTGAGAGCTCACCTCCCCCTCGGCATGCTTGTTGCGCAGCTCAGTGACGATGGAGATGGGGTTCAGCCCTGCATTCTCCGCTAGCGTGTACGGCACCACCTGCCGAAAGAAGAGAAGAGCAGAGCATAAGTGTGGTTGGCAGGAGGGAAGGGGGGGAAGGGGTTGAAGTTCACATATTGACCTCTCCATTTCCACCCACTCCCCTCAACGTGTCAACAGTCAGCAGTCAACGGTTAGCAGTCAACAGTCAGCAGTCAACGGCTAGAATTCAACAGTCAGCAGTCAACAGTCAAGCAATCATCGGCTAGCAGTCAACAGTCAAGCAATCAACGGCTGGGAGTCAACAGTTTGCAACTAGAATTCGCAGTCAACATACCTCCAGGGCCTGTGCGAACGCCCTCGCGCAGTAGCTCTCCTTGCCCTCCAGCTGCTTGCTCCACGCCGCCAGCTGCCGGCTGACCTCTATCTCCGGCGCCCCTCCGCCAGCAATGAGGAAGCGCTTGTTGACGAGGCAGCGCACGACACAGAGCGCGTCATGCAGGCTGCGCTCCGCCTCCTCCAGCACCAGGCTGTTGGACCCTCGCACGACCACGCTCATGGTCCGCCCCATGTCCTTGATGCCCGTGATTTTCACCACCTGTTGTGGTATGAGGAGGAGCGGGAGAGGCAGGGGAAGGGGGAACGAAAGGATTTAAAAAACCCTTACAGCTCAAGCACAATTCATCCCCAAAAGATACTCATCCACCACAGCTGGCCCACTCCCCACAGCTACTCACCCGGCCCTCCCCCACAGGAACCTCCTCCACCAGATCCGCCTGCCCGAGTTTCTCCGCGCGGAAGTGCTCCGGATTTGCAATGGGCAGGCAGTTGAGCGTGCGGCTGATGAACTCAATGTCGTCCCGCTCCACGTCCTTCACGACCAGGATCTTGGCCTTGGCCAGGTAGTGCAGCGACAGGTCTGTCACGGCGTCGCGCAGGATGGACTTCTGAATGAGGAGAACGTTGCACCCCGTGGCGCGGATCTTCTTGATGATGTTGAGAATGTAGTTGCGCTCCTCCTTGAGGATACGGTCCATCTGATTCCAGTGATAGAGAGAGGAGGGGAAACCAACAGCAGATGGGGCGCAAGGAGGGAGCACAGGCAGCACCGGGCGAAGCTGAATCTTGCACGAGCAATGCGTTGAGAGATTCTCGTCTTTCACCCGTGTTCACTCGAACTACACTCGATCACTTGCCTCGTGTCCCACCCGACCTGGCCGGCAACCGGGCGGCAATTCAACCGGGCAGCAGCTCAACTGGGCGGCAGCTCTGGGCGGCAGCTCACCTGGGTGTAGTCGGAGACGACCACGGACTGCTCCATGTCGGTTTTGGGCGGCGAGATCTGGAACTGAATCAGCCCAATCTTCGCCTTCTCCACTCTTGACGGCCCGCCTGCTGCGTGGCTCGCCTTGCGGTCAAACACCAGCCCGCGCACCATCTCCGTGTCATCCACCTGTGAGTGGGGGGAGTGGAGGAGGGGGGCAGAATAAGAATCAAGTAGAAGAGGTGGTGTGGCTCGCCTTGCAGTAAAACACCAGCCCGCGCACCATCTCCGTGTCATCCACCTGTGAGTGGGGGGAGTGGAGGAGGGGGGCAGAATAAGAATCAAGTAGAAGAGGTGGTGTGGCTCGCCTTGCAGTAAAACACCAGCCCACGCACCATCTCCGAGTCATCCACCTGTGAGTGGGGGGAGTGGAGGAGGGGGGCAGAATAAGAATCAAGTAGAAGAGGTGGTGTGGCTCGCCTTGCAGTAAAACACCAGCCCGCGCACCATCTCCGTGTTGTCCACCTGCCAAGTGGGGGAATATGTGGGGTGTGGGTTGGTGGAAAGCGGAATGAGAGCGGGGGTTAATCAAGGCGGGAGCAGCTCGCCTTGCGGTCAAACACCAGCCTGCACACCATCTCCGTGTCGTCCACCTAAAGGGCAAGTGGATGGGAAGGGGAGAAAGCGCAGAAGGGAAGACAGGAATAAGCATGGAGACGGCGCAGGGTATGATTACTCGTGGTTGATACCATGTGTTGGTACTAATCCCTCGCGCCCAGCACCATTTTTGCAGGTGCTACTCGCACAAGAGAAAGAAATGAAACCCGCAATTCGCGAAATTGTGCCACCAACACACAGTGTGCCGCCCAGCACTCACTGCGCCCCCCAGCACTCACCGTGCCGCCCAGCTTCTTGAGCACTTTGATGTCCCGAAGATCGACCACATCTGGGTGGCTGGGGTCCATCACCTGCCACGTCAGCAGAGAACAGGTAGCGAGAGGGGCTCGAGTAGGGTTAGGTAAATGTAGTTTGACTAGGAAAACAGCTCGTTTAACAGGTACGGGCGAATACTTTTGAAAGCAACACACTGTAATAAGGGCATGCGATGAGGTGTTTGGTGAGGGTATGTGCGTTGCTAAAAGCGTCAGAACGATGTAAGCATGGCAAAACGGCGCCTTAATCAGGGACCCTTCCGCTCTCACCTGCAGAACACAGTCAACTGCTAGCGGGGCAAGCAGAGAAGAGTACTGGCTGACCACCTGCGCACAGGAAGGGCAGTCGGGCATGCGGGCATGCGCCAGGTGGATAACACGGGACAACGAGGCGAGGTGAGAGAGCGCTTTCATCTTCTCCACACAAAGAGTGGAGCAGGAAGCGTTTTCTTAAGGGACACATGAGAGAATGGTGTGAGGACGAAGTCCGAAAGAGACGCTTCTGCCAAGGAAGAAACGCCTGAACCTTTTGAGAGTTTTCATATCTGAAACAAGGGCAGCCAGTACCCTCCTTGGTGAGACATAAAACCGCTCCTTGGAAACAAGATGGCAAAATGGTGAGGCGGGAACTCTCCTGGCTGAAATGTGACCGCAGCCAAGCCATCTGCACTGCATAATTGCACCACACTGCACAGCACTGCACTGCACCGCATTGCACCACACTGTACCTTGCTGTTGAGCGAGGTGCTGGCGCTCTTGACGAGCGACTCGCGGTCCGACAGCTCCACTGGAACCGCCATGGTGGTGAGGATCTGCAGAACGGGTGGGGGGGGGGGGGGGGGGGGAGAGGGGAAGGGAGAAGGAGGGCCAGAGTGAGTTGCGTTTACGGGTGTGAGGGAGCGGTAACGAGGGGACGAGTTTTGAGACGTCTCAAAACCCTTCTTCAATTACGCGGTAATGAGGGGACGAGTTTTGAGACGTCTCAAAACCCTTCTTCAATCACGCGGTAACGAGGGGACGAGTTTTGAGACGTCTCAAAACCCTTGTTCAATCACGCGGTAACGAGGGGAGGAGTTTTGAGATGTCCCAAAACCCTTGTTCAATCACGCGGTAATGAGGGGACGAGTTTTGAGATGTCTCAAAACCCTTGTTCAATCACGCGGTAACGAGGGGACGCCCAGTCTGACAGGTCCACTGGCACCGCCATGGTGGTGAGGATCTGCAGGAAAAGGTTGGGGGGGGGGGGGGGGAAAGGGGGGAGGAAGAAGGGGGGGGCGGGAGTTCCGCGCGGGCACAGATAAGGAGGGGAGTTGCCGTTTCACGGCTCCATTGGCACTGCCATGGTGGTGCGAATCTGTGCTCGAGTGGAAGTTGGGGGGGTTGATGAAGGGCAGAGGAAGGGGGAGAACGGGGGGGCAAGCAAGGGTGGGAAGAGGGGAGGGGAGCGGGGGGATTGTTGCATGCGGGATGGAGGGGACTAGGAACATGAAGGAAAGTAAATTATTTAATAAATTTGAGTCTGACAGCTTCTTAGGCACTGAGGGTTTTTGAGAATTCTTAAAAACCGTCTGATAGCTTCATAGGCAGGGAGGATATGCCAGGGAGAGAAACATTAAGAAATGGCGCATGGAGGAGGAGGAGGGGGTGTACATGGGCGGAGGGGGATGGGAGAGCGGCGAGGGATTGCAAAAAGCCTCGGAGGGGGAAACAGAGCGGTGTTCAGTGTAAGGAGAAGAAGGCACAACACCACACGCAATAGCCGAGCCAGAAGCTTCCTACCCATGACATCTTTCAAGTCTCTTTCATGCTTAACCCTCATTCACCGTACCTCGGCGGCCTTGTTAGCGGCCTTGTGCAGAGCCTCAGAGATAGTTGCCGGGTGGATACTACTTCCCAGCATAAACACCCTTGTCCCGCATTCAGACCAGCTCAGGATACACCTCCTTCGTACCTCGGCGGCCTTGTTAGCAGCCTTGTGCAGAGCCTCGGAGATGATTGTAGGGTGGATGCCCTTTCCCAACAGCGACAGGCACTCCTTCAGCAGCGCACCCGCCACCACCACCACTGCACCGCAGGGAGGAAGGGGAGGCGGAAGGGGGGAAGGGGGGGAGGGGGAACGGAGACACATAGTGCGCAGAAAGCTAATTGCCGAGCTTTTGAGGCAGAAAACAAAGAAACTTCACAAAAAAAGGGTACAGGAAGAAAAAATTGGTGGAGTTGACACATACACACGCATGTACACACACCTGAACAAAGAAAGGAATCCGCGACAAGAATCAGAGCTTCCTCGCTGGGCACTCAAACATGGCGCTGGATGCAACAACTCCGAATCTTAAACGTCCCCAACACCCATAACCCTAAACCCCCATACAGGTGACTTTTGAGTCGACTCAAAAGTCACTCCGAATCTTAAGCGTCCCCAACACCCATAACCCTGAACCCCCATACAGAGAAACCACTGCTTGTTTCACGAACCCGGATCCCAAATTCCAAAGCTCGTAAACCGAGCCCGAATTCCCGAATACAGAATACCAAATCCCGAATTCCAGATCCCGAATTCCAGATCCCGAATACCAAATCCCGAATTCCAGATCCCGAATCCTGAACCGCGAAATCCAAATTCCGGATCTCAGATCCTGCGACGGACCTGTGGTGGTGCCGTCGCCGGCGACAATGTCCTGCGACTTGGACAGCTCCACCAGCATCTTCGCCGCTGGCTGTGTCACCTCCATCTGAACCGGGATACGCGTTACAGGGAAAAACGATAGCATGGTGACGTTGTTGAACGGACTTCAGTAGCTTCTTACAAGGAATCGTGTCACAAGTACACGAAAATCGTGTCGGTAGAGAAACAGGGGGGAGAAAAGGCCTGATTTCAGAAACAGCGGGATGGACGAATCGCAGCCAAAACAAACGGCTCTGGTCTAAACAGCTCTGGCCTCTCGGTCCAAATGGCGGAAGAAGAGAAGTAGTAAAGCAGGATCGAGGCGTCGAAGGCTGGAGAAACTCTGAATGCTGGGGAGAAATACTTCAAATTGCGAATCAAGACCTCATCTGAAACCGCGGACGCCGAAAAGCACATTAACGGGATGCGGTGACGTGGATCTGTGTCAGCCTTGGGTTTCAACGAGGATTCCCACCTTAAAATGCACACAGCGCAGCAGCAGCAGCAGCAGCACCAGCAGCAGAAGGCCGGATTCACTGTAAATTTCTACCTGCTCTTCCAATTTCACGAACTCTGAGGTTGCCAGGAGCCCTGAATCTCCACAACAACTGATCAGTCCCTTCCAGATCCGCTATTGCATCCATTACTACTGGATATTGCAGTTCCTGCTGGACGTTCCATCATCCATGCCGTGACTAAATCTCGCGGGAAAATCACACTTTCGCAGTCGCATCTTCCTGAAAATCGTCGCACCTTCCTGAAAATCGTCGCACCTTGTTGCGAATCGTCGCACCTTGTTGAGAATCGTCGCGCCGTCGTTGGTAATAATGACCTCGCCGGTGGCCGTCGTGAGCATCTTATCCATCCCCCGGGGCCCCAGGCTTGTTCGCACAGCATCCGCCACGGCTTTAGCAGCCATGATGTTCGCCTGACGGATATCGTCCTTCCTGCTCGTGTCCGAAAACGTCTCGCCTTTCGCTCCTCTTCCTCCTCCTCCTCCTCCTCCGCCTGCCATCGCGGGGACGGGGACTACCTGAGCTGCCGCCATGCTAAGCGGTTTGAATCGTGGGTTTCTGAGCTGCGAATCTGCGGAACGTCGATCGGAGCCCGGATGCTACGGAAACAGGTCGAGAGATGATGAAAACGAACGGAAGAGTGCACGGGTCGAGCAGAACTTGCGCTGTGGTGGGCTGTTAGACTAAGATCAGCACAGATCGAAGGTCTGACTCGGTTAAGTCACGAATCTGTGAAGGAAAATTGGAAGCCTTTTCTGCGATCTGAGGTTGAGGTGTGTCACACAAGCTCATTTGCTTGACACGAGACCCTCAGGGTTTTTAGAAAGGTGAGTATCGATGCCGAGCGGTCGGGAAAGTAACTGAAAGCCTCTGCTACGATATCACCGTATATGGTAGTCATCTAAATTCAGAAAGGCGAATATCGATGCAAAGCGGTGAAAAACGGCTAACACCTCCAAAAGACTACTGAGAAAATTCCTTACACTACCCCCCCCCCCCCCCCCCCCCCTCAAGAAGCCCCCTCCGCTACGCGAGTGAGTGTATATCGCGGAATCCCCGGCTCCTCAGGTACACTTGCAGGGCAGGGTGGTTGTCAATGTTGGCCAGGGCCACCCAGCTATCCTCAGTTGGCGTGCGGTCCTTCCAGCGAACGAGGAATTCAATCCTCCTGATTCCCGTGGGGTGTCGAATCCGATGGCTCAGGATTTTTTCGGGCTCGATGATCGGCTCCGATGCAGGGCGAGTCATGGATGGCGGGCGGTGGCGAGGCAGTTGGCAAGTGGTTGCGATGTATGGGCGAAGCAAGCTGACGTGGAATGAAGGGTTGATGTACCAGTCGGTCGGTAACAGTAGGTGCGCAGTTACTGGTGTGATCATGTGGCTGATTTGGAATGGGCCACAGTAGCGCGGTCGAAGTTTCGGTACGTCGGGCAGTCGCAGATTTTGCGTGTCGAGCAGTACGTAATCCCCTGATTGGTATGTAACTGGGCGGCAGTGGCGGTCAGCGTTGCGCTTAGCGATGACGTTTGCTTTTTTAATTGCTTCTGCGACTCTGGTCCGGGCAGCTTGCAGAATTTCGGCGAATTGCTGTGCACGTGGTGTTGGGTCGTCCGGACTCGGTGACATGGGCACTGTAGGATTTTGCCCGTAGTTCAGGTAGAAGGGGGACTGCTGCGTAGTCGCTGACGTGGCGTTGTTGTACGCGAACTCGATCAGCGGCAGATGCTGCTCCCAAGTCGTGGGGTCGTCGCACGTAGCGCGAATCAACTGCTCCATCGTCTGATTCGTCCGCTTCGTTTGACCGTCGGTCTTGGGGTGGTACGACGAACTGAACTGTAGCCTGGTCCCGAACTGCTCCCAGAGATTTTTCCAGAAGTTGCTGGAAAACTTCATGTCCCTGTCGCTGATAATCGCTGCTGGTATCCCGTGCAGGCGAACAACGGCTGCGATGAACAGGCGAGCGGTCTCCTCGGCTGAGATCGACTTTTTGCACGCAGCGAAGTGTGCCATCTTCGTCAACCTGTCAACGACGATCATTACCGCGTCATTACCCCCAGGGTTCGAAGGTAACCCTGTGACGAAGTCCATGGTAACCTGCTGCCAGGCGCGCTCGGGCGGTGGTATCGGGTGTAATTGACCCGCCTTCCGCTTCCTCGAGCTCTTCATCACCTGACACGTGGGGCACGAGCCCACGTGCTGCTGTACGTCGGTCAACAGCTCCGGCCAGTAGTAATACCGCTGCAGTTGCTGTCGCGTTTTTTCTACCCCAAAATGTCCCGAGGTAATTCCGTCATGTGCCTCCTGCAGTAGCTGCTCCCTCAGTAGTGAGTACGCGGCTACCTAGATGCGGTTGGTGCCTGTTTTTACGTAATAAACTCCTTTAGCTTCTGCCAGTTGCTGTGAGTTTCCCGTCGTGAAAAATGGGTCGGTGCGGTATCCGTAGCTGAATAGGCCTGTTAAAAGCGGGTTGGTTTGGGCGAGTAGGATGGCATGGAGTTGGGCGGTCGGGCGGGTGAGTGCGTCGGCGATGTTGGAGGCGCCTTTCTTGTACGTAACCGTGTAGTGGAAGTTGGACTCGAGGTAGTCCAACCAGCAAATCTGACGCGGATTGAGATTTGGTTGGGCGCGTGGGTACTGTAGTGATCAGTGGTCTGTCAGTACTGTCACGTCGGCGCCGGTCAGGTAATACCGCCAAACCTTGAACGCGTGCACGATCGCCAGCATTTCGCGGTCGTGTATCGGGTAGTTGCGTTCGGGCGGGTGCAGCTTGCGGGACTCGTACGCGATTGGCTGGAGGCCGTTCCCGAAATCCTGCAACAATACTGCTCCCACAGCGATGTCACTTGCGTCGGTGACGAGCTCGAATGGACGGTGTGGATCTGCGATGTGAAGCACGGGCGGTGAGCACAAAATGTTTTTGAGGGCCGAGAAGGCAGCTTGCTCTTTCCCCCCCCATGTGTACTTCACCCCCTTCCTCAGCAGGTCTGTCAGCAGGGCAGTCAGCTTCGCCATGTCGGGGACGAACCGGCGCACGTAGTTGACGAGCCCCAAAAAACTCTGCAACTCGGTCAAGTTGGTCGGCGCGTGCCATGCTTGAATCGTCGCAATTTTCTTCGGGTCTGTTTCCACGCCTGCAGCTGAAATAACGTGTCCCAAAAATTCTAGGCGGTCCTGTAAAAGCTCACACTTAGACGCTTTCGTCAGTAGGCGGTTCTCACTCAGTATTTTAAAAACTGCTCCGATGTCATGTAAGTGCTGTGCTCTGTCAGGGCTGTAGATCAGTATGTCGCCCAGGTATACGATGACACACTTATCTAAGAGTGGGCGGAAAGCTTCGTTCATGGTCATTTGAAAAGTGGCCGGGGCGTTGGTCGGTCCGAAAGGCATGACGGTGTATTCGAAGCATCCGTAGCGTGTTCAAAATCCGGTCTTATGGTAGTCGGGCGGATTGACACGAATCTGGTGGTAACCAGGTCAATTTTCGAGAAAACCCAGGCTGTGCGCAGTTGGTCGATCAGTTCGTCAGCTCGCGGGATGGGGTAACGGGATTTGATGGTAACCTTGTTCAGTGCTCTGTAATCTATGCACATGCGAAATCCCCCGTCTTTTTTTCGGTTTGAATAGCATCGGTGCGGCGAAGGGCGACGAGCTAGGGCGAATGAATTCCTTCTCGAGCAGGTAATCGAGCTGCTTCCTCAGTTCGTCCAGTTCGGGCTGGGGCAGTCGGAAGTGTCGCTGTACTGTTGGCTGTGCCCCTGGTTCTAACTCTATCCTGTGGTCGTGCGGTCGCTGAGGTGGCAACACTGTCGGTAAATCGTCCGGGAAGATGTTGCTGTACTGCTTCAACAGTGCTGCTAGATCATTCAGTACATCGGCCAGCAGTTTCTGTAAATCCCCTCCTTTGTCTGCTGCCTCGGCTTTCCGAATGTCGACCGCGTACACGTCAGCTCCTGCCGCTACGGCGCGTTTCATCGTGATCGCGTTGACACGCACCGACGAATACTCAGGCGAGCCCCAGCGGGGTAAGGTGATGTTGTTATCGTTTACTCGCAGGGTGAAGTCACCCGTCGTCCAGTCGATTCGCGGATTGTGTCGTTGCAGCCAATCACGCCCGAGTAAAATATCGGTTCCGTCGAGGGTCGTTGCGAGCATTTCCTGGCTAAATGTGAAGTTACCCCCACATCGAATCCAAACCCGGTCTACGCGTTCCCGTATTGCCAGCGGCGTGCCGTCTACCAGTCGTGTGTCGATCTCAGGTAAACATCTGTCTAGTGGTAGTCCCAGTTTTTTAACTGTAGCGGTGTTGATGAGGCTGTGGCTGGCTCCCCCGTCGACGGAGATTTTTACTAAGTCCGTCCCGATTTTCCCACTAAGCAGTATGGGGCTGTCTAGTGTGGTACCCTCCTTATTCGGCCGGGTGTGGTCGATTGCGTGAACCGGCACAATCACTCGGTGAGGGTCAGTTGGGTCGGGCGAGCGGCGTGACCTGTCAGTAGAGGGCCCGTCTGCTACTGACTCCCAGCGTTTCCCTGCTGCTCGGTCTGTTTCTGTTGCTCAGCTTCCCCCTTTCCCTTAGCGTTTTCCGGGCATTCGCTCTTGCGATGTCCCGGCCGATTGCACGCAAAGTAGCGCCCTTTGAACGGTACGGCAGCTGCATTTGCAGCGACGGCACGTATCGTGGCGCCCTCTTTCGTCCCACGAGGCCGATGTCCCCAATGGCTGCTTTCGTAGGGCCCCGGTATCGGTCGGCGGAAGAAGTCGAGTTTCTCCGCTATAGCGAGAATTTCTTGAAAGTCGGTGACGCGGCGTAGCTGGATTCCTTGAGCGATGTCCTGCTTGAGGCCGCAGATGTAGCGGTCGATGCGTTCGCTCTCGTGCATATATCCCACCTGCTCGCATAGCGCCAGAAATCCGCTCGTGTAGTCTTTGACGGAACCGAGTTGGCGCCAAGTGCGGAGCTTCTGTCGTGCCGCGATCGAAGCCGCGAATGGCTCGAAACGAGCGCGAAGACCTGCGCACCACGCGTCCCATGTGCGATACTGAGGCACCTCCACGAAATACGACGACGCCCAGGGTCCGGTTTGTCCTTCCCGTGTCGGTAGAGTCGCGTAGTCCACCAGCTTCGTGACGATGACGCTGTTGAGAATCTAGCTTGATTTAAGCTTAGGAGCGATTGCTAGTTAGGTTCTTAGTAGATTAGGTTTAGGGTTGATGAAAGTCGAGAATTTGGAAAGGAGAAAGAGGGCTTCACTATAGGTTTGCAAGAACATATAGCAAAGGAAGAAAGAAGGTGCACCACCAAACAAAGTTTATAATAACTACACTAACTACAGCTATAGGCAGTTACAGATATATTCTGACACTCCCCCATAACTGCCTGCAGCAGAAGCTAATGCAGAGACACCCCCTGAAGGGGTACACCAAGCGCAGCAGAAGAAGAGGGCAAGTGAGGAGGAGGGACTATATGAGGAGAAGCTGCTGGCAGGTGAAGCTGCTGGCTCTAAGAAGGTTGCTTCCTGGAACCTTCCTCAGT